GGCCATCTTGTCGAAAGCGTTAACCTCGACTGTGCGGAACGAAAGTTTCGAATACCGGGACGGACGGAGTAGTTTGAATATCAATAACAGCCGCGTGGCAGCATGAAATACCAGTGATTTGAATAATAACAGCTTCGAGGAAAGTTCTTGAACCTGCGCGGATAGGAGAGGCCTTGTCAAGGCTGTTGATAAGTGAAATCAGCGGCTTCGAGCTACAGGAAGGTTCGAGTACAAGTCGAGGAAACGAAACTCTCCTACGTTGTCTACTTTGACTCTGACCTTTTCATTTAGTTATTTATTTGTTCATTTATTTATTTCTTTAGTTAGTTAGTTCGTTATTTGTTCAATTATTTATTCATTCATTTATTCATTCATCTATTTATTTCTTTAGTTAGTTAGTTCGTTATTTGTTCAATTATTTATTCATTCATCTATTTATTGGGTTAGGGAATTGGTTCGTAGCGTTTCTATTTGAAGGCGATTTTCTTTGTTGTTTTCGTTAAGCTCGTGAGGCACCCAGGCTCCCAATTTTTCGGCAAATCCCATTGAATGAAGACGATCGAGAATCGTTTTATGATCGCAGTTCATTTTTTCGGTCAATTCACGACTTGTTTGGTGACCGTCCTCCTCCGAAAGTGCTTCGAGACGCTCTTCGTCGAATTCAGAAGATCCTCCGCTCCGGGACGTGTCGTCAACGTCAAAATCGCCATTTTTGAACTTCGCAAACCATTTCCGTGCTGTAGACTCGCCTATGACACCTTCTCCGTATACGTTGCAAATGTGTCGAAAATGTTGCTTTTCACCTCCTGGATATTCCATTTCTAAGCCTCGAAAGTAATCAAAAATCAAATTACTCAAAAAGACGATTAGCACAGTTTTGTAGAGCAGAAAGAGCTCCATCGAATGAATATTATACGCTTTGTCGAACAGCAAAAACATCGTTGTAAAATAAAAGAAAATATAAAAACGCTACGAACTTATTCCCCAACCTAATATTTATTTATTCATTTATTTCCAGCACGAAGTTTAAATCAATCCAATGTTGTCATCGCTACAGAACAATGTACGTTAGTAACATTTAATAATCCGTGAAATGAAAGAAAATCGGCGAGCGACCGGGACCGCGTTATATCATTCGTCTTTCGCCGGACGAGGAAGAACCCGTTCCGCAACAGGTGTCCCGGGGACACGATGCACCACGGCGATCACGATTTCCACGTTCGTATCTCCATATAAGCGCCGCTTCTCCTTCGCCTCCTCCGCCACCGCCGCGTCGGCGTAGACCCGCCGCGATATGGCACACTTAGCCCGCTCGCGATTCGCGTATGTATCGGTGCCACGCGCCGCTGTACGTCGCGTGAAACTATCCCCGAGCTTCCCAGATTCCACGCGGCGATTAGTCAAATTAATTTATCGCCTCGTTGGGCAACCGCGCCGGCACACCGAACGAGACGGTCGAAACGGTGCCGGGTTCACCGGTGTCTGCCCGCGCGATCGCGTCGATCTTCCCCGCTGATCTTTCGCGCAACGAGGCACGATCCGGATCCGTAACATTTATCCAGGGATCGGCGAAATGCTGTTCCAATACGCCCTACTTCCTTCGAACAATTTCGACAGCTTCGGGCTCGTCCGTACACTGGCGCCGATGTTCCGTAGATTGTTTGGCTCGAAATCTTCCGGCACTTTTGGCGCGTGCAGATTTTTGAAGTGCAAGAAAATCTATACATTTGTCGAGGTTTAGTAGCATTTTTATTTTATTTTCACAAAGAGTAATCTTTCAGCTTTAATTTCTTTAATTATGATTTTTGAAAAATAGGGTTTGAAGATGAGTCTACTCGCAAGCTTCTCGAGTCAATGAATTACCTGAATATATAGAGTGGTCATTTTGTCCAGCACGTTGAGATGTCTTCGTTATTTTTTCCGATTTAATTCTAAGAATATTATTGATAATAAAATAAGAATAATATTATTAATTCTAAGAATATTGCGATTCATGCTCTCTTTTTCTTAAAAACGTGTGTTGTCGGACACTCGGGACGTTTTAAAAGACGTCGTTTCTTAAAACGTTTTCTAAAAACTTTATTCTGTAATAAGACGTCGTTTATAAGATGTGTTTAAGACATCGTACACAAGACGTCCCGAATATCCTATGAGAGACGTTTCTAAGACGTCTTGAAGACGTCTAAAAAATCAGAAGTCGTCTTCACGACTGAAATAAGACGTCTATGAGACGTCTTTCAGATGTCGCCTGCAAGACGTCCCGAATATCGTACAACAGACGTCTTTAAGACGTCTCGAAGACGTCCAAAAAATCACACGTCGTTTTCACGTCTGAAATGAGACATCTGTAAGTCGTCTTTCAGACGTCCACAGGATGTCCCGAATATCCTACAACAAACATCTTTAACACGTCTCGAAAACGTCCCGAACCAGACGCCTAACGTCTAGAACAAGACGTCTTCAATACGTCTTCCAGACGTCGTACATAAAACCTCCCGAATATCATTCACGAACGTCTCAAAGACGTCCCGAACTGGACGTCGTTTCAACAAGCGAAACAAAACGCCTCAAAGACGTCCATCTTAGGTCGTAAGACCTAGTCACAACCTAATTCCGCGTGTACTTCGTAACAAAATAGTGCAGTTTAAAGAAAAAAAATCAAACGATTAATTAAAACCAGGTAATTGTACTTCGGCCTGGTCCATCGCGACCGAATTCACTGCCGTCGAAGCACAATGCCAGGAATTCTGCAAAAGTTTCGCGTCGTCTCGAAATTGTCCGTCGTTGGTCCCCGGTATGTTCTCGGGTGTGCAAGAGGCTGATTGAGACAATGAGCACCGGTAACCCCGATACGGGCCCCGCAACCGCGAGAGGAAAGAGACCAGCAGGAGAGCCGGCAAGGTAACCGGCCGCGTAACCGCGCGGTTTCTCTTTTATCGGGCAACGGGAGGAAGAGGTCATCGCCGAGGTTCGAATAGAAGCTGTGGAAACGGTGGAAGAGCCGGTGTTACAGGACGTGCCTCGGGGCTGTGGGCCGAGAATGCGGAACCTTAGCTACCCGGTGACCTCCCACGAGGTCGACTTCGGCGCGAATATCACCTGGCCCGCGGCCTACGACGTCTACGAGCCTCCGTCGTCCTCGTCGCCGCCGGTTCGCGCTCGTCACCGACTTCGGAATCATAGTGATTACCGCGGTAACCGTGCGACGAGAGGCTTCACGCGACCGACTCCGAACACTCCCGCATGGAAATGCGCCTTTCGAGAGCTGGTTTGCGCAATAATCGGGAACGTGGAACACGTAGAGCCGCTGGGGGGAGACGGAATGCTGTTGCGGGCGCGAGCGCTAGGTAAAAGTTAAAAGGCAAAGAGCCTGGGATCTTCTTAATATCATCGCCGGAGGTAATGCAACCTCCGCGAGACGAACTGCGCGGCTCTCTGCCACGACGTAAGCCGCGAGTTTTCTATCTCGAAGGTCCGCGGCGAGGACGAAGACCTCTCTAAGACATCTTGGAAGCGTCCCGAACATGATGTCGTTTTATCGTCTGAGATACGACGTCTTTAAGACGTGGTCTGTGAAAGGTGTTCCAGATGGTGTCCGCAAGACGTAACGGATGTTCTACGACAGGCGTCGCTTTAACGACTAAAATGAGTCGTCTTTGGGACGTCTAGTAAACATCTTTCAGACGTCTTTATGACGTCTAGTAGACGTCTTTCAGACGTCGTCCACAAGATGTCCCAAATGTTCTAAAACTGACGCTGTTTTAACGTCTGAAATGCGACGTCTTAAAGACGTCCGAAACAACATGATGTTTTTTGGTCTGATATAAGACGTCTTCGAGATATCTTTCAGACGTCGTCCACAAGACGTTCCAAATGTTTTATAATAGACGTTGTTTTATCATCTGATGTAAGACGTCTTTGAGACATCTTCAAGACGTCTTTGAGACATCTTCAAGACGTCTTTGAGACATCTTCAAGACGTCTTTGAGACATCTTCAAGACGTCTTTGAGACATCTTCAAGACGTCTTTGAGACATCTTCAAGACGTCTTTGAGACATCTTCAAGACGTCTTTGAGACATCTTCAAGACGTCTTTGAGACATCTTCAAGACGTCTTTGAGACATCTTCAAGACGTCTTTGAGACATCTTCAAGACGTCTTTGAGACATCTTCAAGACGTCTTTGAGACATCTTCAAGACGTCTTTGAGACATCTTCAAGACGTCTTTGAGACATCTTCAAGACGTCTTTGAGACATCTTCAAGACGTCTTTGAGACATCTTCAAGACGTCTTTGAGACATCTTCAAGACGTCTTTGAGACATCTTCAAGACGTCTTTGAGACATCTTCAAGACGTCTTTGAGACATCTTCAAGACGTCTTTGAGACATCTTCAAGACGTCTTTGAGACATCTTCAAGACGTCTTTGAGACATCTTCAAGACGTCCATAAGACATCTTCCAGATATCGTCCACGAGACGTCCCAAATTTCCTACAAACGACGTCGCTTTAACGTCTGAAATAGGACGTCTTAAAGACGTCTCAAATATCCTACGACAGACGTCGTTTTAACGTCTAAAATAGGACGTCTTAAAGACGTCCCAAACCACGTGACGCTTTTGCATCTGAAATAAGACGTCTTCAAGACACCTTCCAGACGTCGTCCACAGGACGTCCCAAATTTCCTACGTCAGATGCCGCTTTAACGTCTAAAATAATTCGTCTTAAAGATGTCTTAAAGCCATCCCAAACCACCTGTCACTTCAACGTCAGAAATAGGACGCGTTCAAGACGTCGTCGATTTCAACAAGCTACCGTTGTAATAATTGCGACTCTAGCGTCGAATCTTAATGATCAGCAAGAATAGCCGTGTCATCGGCGAATGCGTACACGTCCATTAATATACCACCGTATCGTATACTTTACACATTCTTGTCATACTTGGAAAGATTGCCAACAGTCGGCCAGACTTTGAATACTAACGGTGTCCGATCGTTTTCAGACGACGACTGGGGCGCGCCAACCGAGGACAACGACTACCTCCCGGAGGCAGAGACGACGACTAGCCTAACGCTGCCGAGACTGCCGAGGAGCCCGGAAAGACTGAGCAGCCAGGTGTCCAGAGGCGTTTCACCGGGCTGCAACAGGAGCCGCAGGGCGCCGGAATTCAGGCAACGATCGCCGAGCCCCCAATACCAGCCCAGAGCGAGTCCCGGCGATGTGACCAGTCCCAGGGAGAGATTTCAGGACGCCAAGGAGATGTTCAGAGCCATGGAGAGAGAGGCGATCGCCAGGCCTGTCCTTTCCAGGCAGAGAGAAGTTGAAAGTCATCCCGTTCACAGGTAAACCGCGCGCGAATCTTTCTCCCGACCGTTTACCTTCTCTTTTCTCTTCTTCTCGTTCGGCCGCGATAAAAATCAGCTCCGACCGCGATCGATCCTTGCGCCACTCTTCGGGAACGCTTCAGCTTTTGACGGTTCCAATCGTATCAATACTCTACGTGTCCTGGCGGTTTGCTTGTTTCCTCGAGGCCTGGAGACCCTCTCACGAGAGTCGCGGAGTATTCGATTCTGATTGGTGCTCGAATTTATAGAGTACGCGACGTTTAGTCGCGCGTTTTAAACAATATTATATTATATAAATATTATTTATATAATATTTATTTTTTTTTATTTATATAATATTTATTTATATTTAAATATATTATCAAATAATATTATATTATATAAATAATATTCATTTGATCGAAGGGAGAAAAGTCCTGTGTTACAATAATATGAGAATATGTCGCACGAGTAGCATATAAAAAAGGGAAAAAAGAAGAAAAGAAGCGACACAATAAAAAGGTACAATAGAAGATAAAGTAACTGATCGAAATCATCGAATAAAGTGAAAATTATACAGAAAGAAAGATTATACAGAATAATATAGTACAAGATCATTAAAGCACCAGAGATGATAATAAGATCAAAATTAATGGATACAGCATGAGTAAGAAAAAACTTCAATTTGAAATAGCTCGAACTAAAACGAACTTTCCAAGCTGATATTGTTACTATGCTCTGTGCAGACGATGTTGAAAAAAAATTGCACAAGGATTTTTCGTTTCGATAATTTCTTCGCGAGCGAATAATACATTTTTTTTTCCACGGAAGAATTGGAATTTCGAAAACGGTGAAAACTGAATCGGTTCAACCAGAATGTCAGACGAGTGCCGCACTCTGGATCGACTCCGAATGTCGCAAGAAAGTACCGAGACCTTCGCGGACTTGGTCAGATTCGTTTTCTAATCGAGAAAAAGCGGATTCCCCTGAATGAAACCGCGGTCCCACTTAATTTTCTCCCGAGTCTGACCCGATCGACTAGTACCGGTAGACCGGAGCGTTGTGCCACGGTTTTTCTTCTCGACGGTTGGCATTCGTTTTGGGCCAGCAATCACCGGTGTCAAAGCTGTCTCGGGTAAAAGCTGTCCGGTCACGCCGGGAACGCTGCTCCCGGTTTCTATTCAGCCGGCGAAGGGACCAGAAAAATCGATTCGCTTAAGGAAAGCCGGGCAAAGAGATCGATCGTTTATAAAACCGAGTCGCGCTACCGTTTAACCCTGAGGAATTAGATCGGCTGCCCGCGGCGTTCCGATGCACTTTCTAATAACAACAAGAGCTTGTTTTTATACGGAATACGTGGTCTGCGTGAGATGCTCGTGCAGTCCGAGCATTTAAAAAATTTTACCGGAAGGGTTTAGTCGGAGAATTTATCCGAGGAATTCATTCGAAATATTATAAGAATAAAATTCGATTCGAAGAATTTATTCGGCATACTATGCAAATAAAATTCTACTGGAAAATTGTATTCGTAACGCTTCTCGAATAGAATTGTATTCGAAACGTTTCTCGAATAAAATTGAATTCGAATCGCTTCTCGAATAAAATTCAATTCGAATTCCTTCTCGAATAAAATTGAATTCGAATCCCTTCTCGAATAAAACTGAATTCGAATCGCTTCTCGAATAAAATTGAATTCGAATCCCTTCTCGAATAAAATTGAATTCGAATCGCTTCTCGAATAAAATTGAATTCGAATCCCTTCTCGAATAAAATTGAATTCGAATCCCTTCTCGAATAAAACTGAATTCGAATCGCTTCTCGAATAAAATTGAATTCGAATCCCTTCTCGAATAAAATTGAATTCGAATCGCTCCTCGAATAAAATTGAATTCGAATCGCTCCTCGAATAAAATTGAATTCGAATCCCTCCTCGAATAAAATTGAATTCGAAATGTTATTCGAATAATGCCCCACTTTTATCCTAGCTAGCGACTCCATGTAAATTTAACCGTGCACCACCGAATTACGAAAACTGCTTGCTCGATCGACTCAAAATTCTTCACCATTCAGAAAGATTTGCTGTATTTATAGATCGTTCGAAGCGTAATCGACGCCAGTCCCGCGATGTCGTCGATTTCGTTGACGAGGATCGCGGATAACGATTGATCGGCTTCAACGAAGGCTCTTTAACGAAAACGACAATAATTTGGTTTTGTCTGTGTGCGAACAGGGTCGAGTCGGCGAGGCAGGCGCAGGAGGATCAGCCGGGCCGGCACCATCCGCTCGGGAATAGTTCAACGACTGGGCACGAGCACCTGATCAGACGGAATCATTCGGAAGTATCGGAACGGGAGAACGATATCCCTTACCGGGGNTTCATTCGAAATATTATAAGAATAAAATTCGATTCGAAGAATTTATTCGGCATACTATGCAAATAAAATTCTACTGGAAAATTGTATTCGTAACGCTTCTCGAATAGAATTGTATTCGAAACGTTTCTCGAATAAAATTGAATTCGAATCGCTTCTCGAATAAAATTCAATTCGAATTCCTTCTCGAATAAAATTGAATTCGAATCCCTTCTCGAATAAAACTGAATTCGAATCGCTTCTCGAATAAAATTGAATTCGAATCCCTTCTCGAATAAAATTGAATTCGAATCCCTTCTCGAATAAAACTGAATTCGAATCGCTTCTCGAATAAAATTGAATTCGAATCCCTTCTCGAATAAAATTGAATTCGAATCGCTCCTCGAATAAAATTGAATTCGAATCGCTCCTCGAATAAAATTGAATTCGAATCCCTCCTCGAATAAAATTGAATTCGAAATGTTATTCGAATAATGCCCCACTTTTATCCTAGCTAGCGACTCCATGTAAATTTAACCGTGCACCACCGAATTACGAAAACTGCTTGCTCGATCGACTCAAAATTCTTCACCATTCAGAAAGATTTGCTGTATTTATAGATCGTTCGAAGCGTAATCGACGCCAGTCCCGCGATGTCGTCGATTTCGTTGACGAGGATCGCGGATAACGATTGATCGGCTTCAACGAAGGCTCTTTAACGAAAACGACAATAATTTGGTTTTGTCTGTGTGCGAACAGGGTCGAGTCGGCGAGGCAGGCGCAGGAGGATCAGCCGGGCCGGCACCATCCGCTCGGGAATAGTTCAACGACTGGGCACGAGCACCTGATCAGACGGAATCATTCGGAAGTATCGGAACGGGAGAACGATATCCCTTACCGGGGCCGGCCGCGGCCGCGAACCCATCATTATGCGATGGAACGCCCACCGGAGCAAGAGGTCTCGAGGCCCCGGCCGCGGAGCTTCTACGAAAACCCGTCGGTTGGACGGGACTTCCGAGATCAAAGGAACGTCGTCGATCCGAGAGAAGTAAGGGTCATTGATTCCTCTCGGCGAGCTGTTCTGCTCCGCGAGCGTTCCTCAAGGTCTTCAATCTCTCTGAGAAGCTATCGAATACTCCTTCGGATTAGCGCTTAGATTTCGTCGCGGAAAATATTCTGTCAATAATGTTTTCGTCCACGTTTATTTGTCGAATATTTGTCGACTGCTCGATCGCGAATCGTCGATTGAAAAGCGTGGTTAGAAAGCGCACGAGATGAGAACAACGCCCAAGAGATCTTCTCGGAAAACGTTCAGCTTCCACTTCTTGTACGAACGCGAACTTTCCACGGGAACGGCTGCGGTTCTCGCTGCTATGCTAATCACCGGTTCGCCCGCGAGGGAGTGTCCTGGTAGCCTTTAGGTGACTTTTGCTACTCTGTTGTTCTCTTAGAGCTGAAAGTTCAAAGCATTTATGCCGCAGAACTGTTCTCAAAGACGTCCATTTTCGCGAAGCGATTCCTGTGCTTTGAGGAACGCTTTGTTTTGCTTCGAATTGCAAAGAGCAATCGTGTGTACCTTGTTAATTGCATAAGTAAACTGCGGATTGGATGCACTCGCCTGTAAAGCGAGTAGATCAAATGCGAGATAACGGAAACATCTGAACAATTTGAAAGTGTTATTTTGCTCCTCTCAATTCACTGAAATTATCACGAAAAGGAAGAAATATTTATTTACATAATTAGTATTTATATCATTAGTTATTTAATGGAAGTAGCCCTTTTTATATGTAATAATAATTTATAATAATTTTTTTATATAACGTATATAATATATAATATATATAATAATAATAATATGTAATAATTTTTATATATAACATATATAATATACAATATATATAATAATAATTTATAATAATTTATATATATAACGTATATAATATATAATATATACAATAATAATTTATAATAACTTTTATATACAATATATATAATAATAATTCATAACAATTTATACATAATATATATTATAAAATACCCGCAGTCAGTTCGTAAGGAATAAAAATGCTGACCCAAAACCGCTTTCTGCCAACAGCTGCGCGACTTCCGGGACCGGGCCCACGTCCGAGAGATACGGGAGAAGGTGCGTGCCAGAGCGACGACGTACCAGGAGCTTTCGGAGCACGAGAGATACCCTGGGCTGGACCGGGACAGCGCGAGACCGCCCCTGGAGATCGTGCCCACCCCCGGGAGATACCGTCACAGCTACGCCGAGCCGCCGCGACTTGGTTTGGCAGCTCTGCACCCCTATTGAGCATCGGCTGCTCGTTGTTAACTAATAAATTATTTAATTAATCGGTTAATATCTGTACCGGGCGATGATGAGGTCTCCGAAGCGGACGGCTCGAGCTTGGAGAGCGAAGTGGGCGGAGCCTGGCGCCGCCCATTGCTTCCCTAGAGCCGGCATTGGCTCGCTAGGCCGGCCGCAGTCGACGCTCTTGCTCCCACCACCGTCTCTACGGTCCCTCCCACCAACTCCTACCGGTGGACCGCTCGGCTCCGCCCTCTGTCGCCGCGTAGCTCCTCCCACGAACGTCGAGTTCGCTCGGCAGACCTACGAGTACCCGTTATCGTACTATTCGATCGATTATGCAGCGTTCCGACGGGATTACGACGACCGTCCGTTGCACACGCGTTCGTTTCCATCCGCGACGAACGCTGCATAGACTCTGGAGGAAGCTTTTTCTCGATGGAGGGGGTAACGTCGCGGTTCTAATTCGATAGCTAGAATCGCGGGTCGGCGATAGAATGTTACGCATTTAATTAGTTGTTTAAGTTGTCGTCTCGACGAAAGCGGAGATCGTCAGCGTCCCTAATGCGGATCTAGTGATTTATTGTTGTTCAGAACGAATCAGACCCAGCCGTTGGGAATCGCTGTAGGTGATTGTGTTGTTGTGCCTCGAACCGACGCGTCGCGACCACTGCGCCCAGTCAGGAGACGCGTATGGAGAAGATCGCAGATTTATTATTCACCTTGTACTCGCGCGTTTCGTTGCGCCGTGGACCGAGATTCCCGTGGCGGGGATCGCTTGTTAATTTCCGAACGCGACCGGGCGCATTATATTTGTTATGCGCCGGATGCCAGACTAACGATAACGATAGGAATACTAAGCAGCAGTAACACTGACAGTAACAGTAACAATAATAACGGTTAATAACAATACACAGCTGGTCGTTTGTTTCTGTCACACCCGTTGCATCGTCCGAGATCCGTCGTTACAGCGCGATTAGGTGCGGCCAATAATCGCTCGGATTCGTTCCTGGTGGCGCGGGACGCGACGTTGCGAAGAAAGGTGGGCGTGGCCAAGCTGCTCCCGAGTCTGCGGGGCCAAAGCGGTGCCCCGCGGAGCAATAAACGTCGTCGGCTGGCGTAGACATGTGTATGTGGTTTAGCCGATTCGGTATACGAATTCGTGGCACGTTGAAATGCCATCGCCTCTGCATATGCGCGTTGCACGAGCCCCGTGGGGCCGTGCAATAAATGTTTCATGCAGCTATAGACGCATCTCGAGGTGCATAATGCAGTCGTGCCCAGACGTATCTCGTTTCGCTTTGTGTTTCTCTGCCCACCGTCGCATTCCGGTATTCTCTTCCGACCGGCGACTCGAAAATTTTATCAGCTTACGTTACGTTTAACCAGTTTTCCGTCTCGTGGGGCCAGACAGCGCGAAAAACGGATTGTCGGCTCGCACAAAGTATGCGCAATTTTCTGCATGGACGCTTCGGTTGCCGCACGGACTATTTTGGCCGACGTTCTGGCAACGTGTAGCGGTTTTATTATAATTTACGCTCTGAAAGAGAACACCGGCGTAACGTGTTTCGCTACTAATTATCCGCCCGCGTCTATTTCTTCTTTCTTTTTCGTGCTGGAGTCCGGCAAATGAGAGATTGAAGATGCTAGGCCCGCAGTGTTAGGTCACTGGAACCCGAAGCCTTTCTCCGGTTACCTCGTAATGACTTTCTCGTTAGATTGAATCTTAATCAACGCGCATTATGGCAACATTATCCTTCGGAAAGTTTACGGAAGTATTCGCCGGGAATTGATCGTCCATTATAGTAATTTCCGCAAATGCGCTCGCGTTCAATTTATTCCCTGTTCTGTCAACAATTGGACGCCCATTTACAGCAATTTACTTCGACTATTTTTCCTATTAGAGTAAATTTGTTATTTAATAAGCTTCGTTGTTTTCCTTGCGGATTGTAGATAGTTCTTCTTACATATTAAAATAAAATAAAACACAATAAAATGAAATAAAATAAAATATAATAAAATGAATTAAAATACAATAAAATGAAATAAAATGAAATAAAATGATACAAAATACAATACGATAAAATGAACTAGAATGAAATAAAATGATACAAAATACAATACGATAAAATGAACTAGAATGAAATAAAATGAAATAAAAGAAAATACAATAAAATGAAATAAAATGAAATATAATAAAATACAATAAAATGAAATAAAATAAAACACAATAAAATTAAATAAGATGAAATACAATAAAATGAGATAAAATTAACAACTCATGCATGGAGTATTAAAAAATAATATAAACTTATACAATAAATCAACAACTGTATGTTTGAATCTTCCATCGGAGTATTGCAAAATTGTTGCAGATTTACAGGTGGTTTACAGAACAGGATCGTTCGAACGGGGATTCGAGATCTCTTTGACGACGGTCTCGACGACGAAAGCAGACGTCCTCAGTTCGAAGCGCGGCCCAATTCATTAGCACCGTTTCGAGCTCATTCTGTGATAAGGCCCCGGCACACGTCGGGATGGATCACGTACGGTAGCTCGTTAAATTGCTTTCATGGTTAACGGAGCAGGAAGTGGCCGGTTTGCATTGTTTCTCGGTGTGACTATGGTTTGTTGCGAGAATAACAAATGAATAGAAAGTCTTTCGTGCGGCGCGGAGTCAATAAATCTGCTCGACCGTTCCATTTTTCGTTTCTTTTCGATCGCGTGCTTCGGATTCCCGGTCGACTTCGAAATTCGAAATCCGCTTTTTCCGAATCTAAAATCCCCGGTAGAATTACTTTCGTTCGGTTTTCGATCGCGCAGCTCGGTTGCTCTGCGGTTTTCCTCGTTTCTCGGAGACAATTTCGCAATCGGCCGGCTGCGTTGCGCAACGGAACTGCTACAGCAATACTCTTCCCGATAGTGCACAGCCCGTTGCATCTTGAACCGCGTGCGGCCACGACACTGCGAACGAATGTACCGTTCTCAATGTTTTATTTCGACTGGACGACGTCCACGGGCTCCCATGTTTAATCTTTGGATCGTTAATCAGCTGCTATTCCTTCAAAAAGTATTCGCTTTTTGCTTTTATCAAACTGGTCTAAATGACTCGATTTTTTTTCTATTTTTGAGATGATAAAAGAGAAACGAAAAGTGATTTAAAAAATTGCATCAGTGTCGGAAACAGAAGAATGCAAGCAACTTTTACCTCTTGTAATTAATTTAGAACATTTTTAAGTGGCTTCTAGTTTTTGTGACTGTTATAGAAAATTATCTTAAGTGCCTTCTACTTTTCGTCATTGTTCCAGGAAATTGTTAAGCGACCACTATTTCCTGTGACTGTTACAAAAAAACTCTTAAATGACCAGTTTCTTTTCACGATTGATACAGAAAATTCTGAAGCACTTCCTACATTTCACGATTATTATAGGAAATTCTTGAGCAACTTCTATTTGCTGTGATCGTTCCAGAAAAATTTTAAGTAGCCTCCGTTTCCTGCGATTGACCGCAAAAAGATTCTCAAGCAACCTCTGTTTTCTATAATTGACGCAGACAATTCTTAAGCATCCTTCCGCAAAANTTAATAAGCTTCGTTGTTTTCCTTGCGGATTGTAGATAGTTCTTCTTACATATTAAAATAAAATAAAACACAATAAAATGAAATAAAATAAAATATAATAAAATGAATTAAAATACAATAAAATGAAATAAAATGAAATAAAATGATACAAAATACAATACGATAAAATGAACTAGAATGAAATAAAATGATACAAAATACAATACGATAAAATGAACTAGAATGAAATAAAATGAAATAAAAGAAAATACAATAAAATGAAATAAAATGAAATATAATAAAATACAATAAAATGAAATAAAATAAAACACAATAAAATTAAATAAGATGAAATACAATAAAATGAGATAAAATTAACAACTCATGCATGGAGTATTAAAAAATAATATAAACTTATACAATAAATCAACAACTGTATGTTTGAATCTTCCATCGGAGTATTGCAAAATTGTTGCAGATTTACAGGTGGTTTACAGAACAGGATCGTTCGAACGGGGATTCGAGATCTCTTTGACGACGGTCTCGACGACGAAAGCAGACGTCCTCAGTTCGAAGCGCGGCCCAATTCATTAGCACCGTTTCGAGCTCATTCTGTGATAAGGCCCCGGCACACGTCGGGATGGATCACGTACGGTAGCTCGTTAAATTGCTTTCATGGTTAACGGAGCAGGAAGTGGCCGGTTTGCATTGTTTCTCGGTGTGACTATGGTTTGTTGCGAGAATAACAAATGAATAGAAAGTCTTTCGTGCGGCGCGGAGTCAATAAATCTGCTCGACCGTTCCATTTTTCGTTTCTTTTCGATCGCGTGCTTCGGATTCCCGGTCGACTTCGAAATTCGAAATCCGCTTTTTCCGAATCTAAAATCCCCGGTAGAATTACTTTCGTTCGGTTTTCGATCGCGCAGCTCGGTTGCTCTGCGGTTTTCCTCGTTTCTCGGAGACAATTTCGCAATCGGCCGGCTGCGTTGCGCAACGGAACTGCTACAGCAATACTCTTCCCGATAGTGCACAGCCCGTTGCATCTTGAACCGCGTGCGGCCACGACACTGCGAACGAATGTACCGTTCTCAATGTTTTATTTCGACTGGACGACGTCCACGGGCTCCCATGTTTAATCTTTGGATCGTTAATCAGCTGCTATTCCTTCAAAAAGTATTCGCTTTTTGCTTTTATCAAACTGGTCTAAATGACTCGATTTTTTTTCTATTTTTGAGATGATAAAAGAGAAACGAAAAGTGATTTAAAAAATTGCATCAGTGTCGGAAACAGAAGAATGCAAGCAACTTTTACCTCTTGTAATTAATTTAGAACATTTTTAAGTGGCTTCTAGTTTTTGTGACTGTTATAGAAAATTATCTTAAGTGCCTTCTACTTTTCGTCATTGTTCCAGGAAATTGTTAAGCGACCACTATTTCCTGTGACTGTTACAAAAAAACTCTTAAATGACCAGTTTCTTTTCACGATTGATACAGAAAATTCTGAAGCACTTCCTACATTTCACGATTATTATAGGAAATTCTTGAGCAACTTCTATTTGCTGTGATCGTTCCAGAAAAATTTTAAGTAGCCTCCGTTTCCTGCGATTGACCGCAAAAAGATTCTCAAGCAACCTCTGTTTTCTATAATTGACGCAGACAATTCTTAAGCATCCTTCCGCAAAAACGGAATAATAAAGATAATAAAAATATTATTGCTGCACACAATTCTTAAGCGTCTTCCGTTGTTTGTAATTCATACAGAATATACTCAAGTGCCTTCTGTTTTTTATAATTGATACAGAGAATTCTTAAGTGAATCCTGTTCTTTATAATTGTTGCATAAAATTCTTAGATGTCTTCCGTTCTTTGTAATTGATACAGAAAATTCTCAAGTGACTTCTGCTTTTAATAATTTATAATTGATTCAGAAGATTCTTACATATTTTGCGTTTTTTATAATTGATGCACGAAATTCTTAAGTTTCTCCTATGTTTTATAATTGATTCAGAAAATGTATAAGCACCTCCCGTTTTATACTATTATTGCACAGAATTCTTAAGCGTCTTCCGTTGTTCGTAATTTATACAGAACATTCTCAACTGCCTTCTGTTTTTTATAATTCATACAGAGAATTCTGAAACAATTAAATTGTCCATACCTGATCAGATTAACTTTCGTCATTCCCAGTAATAACAAAATTTAAAAAAAAAAATACTATTTTAATCGTACAATAAACTGGTCCCTTTGTCATAAAAAAAAAACGTTCCAGTAATTTTTTGCTCCAGTTTGAAAAAAGTCGCGCTTCAAAATGCGTTCGATTGCCATTCGCCAGCGGTTTTAGAAGCCTGTTAAACAT